GGAAATGAAGTGCTGGAGAAGGAGAGGGGTGCTCAAGAGAAAACACTACATAGCCTGTGACATGTGTAGACAGAACATGAAGAATACACGAAGGAACATGGAATCAATTTTTTTAACACCTCTCTCCCAAACAGGAGAAGCATTTTCCATAAAGCTTTACATTTGTCTTTAAGATGTCTTTCCCTATGTATTTTTGTATGTTGTGCCTATGACCCACCTGGGTTAAAAGCCCCTACACTCCAAGAGCTCAGTTTTAATGATGGGAAGTAGATGAATAAGGATACAATTACAATTCAGGGTATGATTTATTAATGGCAAAAACTACCTTTATGTGACACTAGTCAAACAGGAAGAAGCCATTAAGCTATTTGTATCCAAATCACACATTAAACTGAAAGAATACCAATCCAAATAAAAGTCTGAGTTTGTATAATTTAAAAACAGAATCACAAACGAAGAACATGGGCTTCGCACAGGGCTGTCTTCCTAGAGTGTCATAAGAGGGACTGGCTTAAATGTGCTTTCACCACAGTCTTGAAACTCTTAATAATTTTATCTGAATTCTGAGTTTTGTAGGGGGCCAATGGAAAACCTGTCAAGGTCTTAGTTTCAGGTCGTGTGGCGTCCTGCCTCCCACATCCTCCCAGTTGGGTTCTGGGGCTTCCCACTTGCGGGTCTTCGCCCGGAAACTACCGTCCTCGTATTCCAGGACCCACGTCTCTAAGACCTGCGGCAGGAGTCCCAGGCACAGGTGAGGGTCTACACGAGACCCATTAGTACTGCTGTGCTTGAGGAGCTTCAGATTAAATGCCAAATAAAAACACATGACACACCAAGTCACCACGGAAAAAAGAAGACATTTTTCCTACTTTTTGAATGAGGGTTCCTGTATTTTCATTTTGCACTGGGCCTCGCTGACCATGTAACCAGCCCTGGAGTCCTGCAGTAGTGATTGGCCCCAGCTGGGCAACTCTGGCTAAATAAAATAGTTGGCTCCTGCAAAGTCTGTTGCCACATCTGTAAAATCATAATAATAGTCCCCATCTCACCGGATATCTGAATATTTTGGGGATAATTCATGCAAAGTGATTGCCCCTGCGCTTGACGCATTTCAACTCTCACTTAAACCAGGTGTTAACCTTTAATACATTTTTCTTATTCAGATTCACTTCCTTACGCCTCCTCTCCCACAGGCTAATCCTTCAAAACAGACATTTCCACAGGCAGCAGTAAATGCACAGCCGGGTCTTGCTTTAGGCATTTACTATCTACATTTAAATCTTACAGTGTGCAGAGGAATATGTCCGAGGCTGATCTATAATATAAGGCTGGCGATAAGGCGTGGTTGTTATAAAGGCAGGAATCATCACGAACACTAGATAAAAACTCGGCACAAAGATTAATCACTCAATCCTTCCATCAAAGCTCCCTCACCCACATTGGGACACAAAGCCAATGTTCTTCCAAAACCAGGCCATGCCTACGAACGAGTATAATAAAATGAGCATCCTGAACACTTCCAGACAACAAGCCCTGCTAGCATCGCGCCCTCTGAGGCGCCAGCCGGAGCCCGGGTTCCACGAGAGAGCGCAGTTCCGGCGCGTGGCCCTCTGCTCCGGAAGTGGTTCCCCTCAGTACCGCTCTTCGCGTCAGAGCCGGTCTCGCTTTTCCTAGGGCGTCGGCCGAAGCCACCTGCAGACAAGTTTTGGACGGAAGGGCCTCCCGTACGGGGTCCACGCAGCCGCGGTCCGGCTGGTGCGGTTAACGTGCCGACGGCGGCGGCCACCGCCCCTCCTGACCTGTCGTAGCCCGGCCGGCGACTTCGAGCCTCAGTAACGAGGTAATTGCCGCGGTCCCCCAGCCTCGGAAAGGCCCCTCTGCGTCCCTCCGGCGGGCGCGAGGTCTGGCGCGGAGCGAGGGCGGGGAGCGCGGCTGCGGGCGGGTTTCCTGGGGTGCGCAGGGCGGCGGCGGGAACGCCTCCTTGTTCTGCAGGCGGTCGCAGCGAGGAGCGTGTGTCTGGCCCCGCGATCCCGTGGGTGTCTGTGTGGGAGGCTTTGGGGAGATGATTCAGTCTCTGCATTCGGTGCCCTTGTCTGTACGCGAAGCTCGTGGTGCTTTCCTCCCAAGGTCGTGAGAGCTGTGTTGACTGGAGTCCGTGAAGCGCTCGGTGCCATTCCGCGTTACCTGCCTTTCCTCGCCGGCGGAAGGGGAGGGCGGGATTGAGACCCGTGGGTATTGTCCGTGGGTATTCCTGACACACGGCTGCTCTGGCACGAGACCGTACCGTTCTTAACTGTGTGTGTTCGTTGCCGCATGTCTTCTCTCCATTCACACCGAAATTTTAAGAGAAAGCCATTTCTGCGTGCTGTATCCAGTTCTCTTTCTCTCTAGTAAATCCAGCCCTGAATCAGGCATTTGCTCTCATCACCTCCACCATCACGTGTCCATATCAGTAGGCTCCCCTTTCTGCGCCTGTCGTCTTTCCAGTTTCCGCTTCTCTTCAAGGGAGTCATAGTCATCTGAAGACCTAAAGTAATCTGGGGAAGCAAGGGTCAAATGAGGATCTCACAGCTACAGCAAAGGAAGTTTTTTGTTATCTTTATTCAGTGGATATGAAGGTGTCTGCCCCTAAGTCACTATTCATACTTTATGAAGTTGTGTATGACACACTTTCAATAGTCAGGCAAGCCACACTCAGATAGGAAAGGGTAAGAAACTCTTGAGAAAACTCAAATTAAAAAACTTGAGCCCCCACTGAACATGCTGGTGGATCCTTACTTTCACTTATTGGAACACTGTAATAAAGAGGAGAAACAGTCTCACACTAGATGCTTTTAATGGTAATAGTTTCATTATCTGATATATCTGACAGCATTTAACTTATCCAGATCAGTTCTTCAAGAATAAAATGTAGAGGTGGGCTTTGATGTGTTGCTTTCTAGAGAAACTTAACATGATTAATACATTATTAGTAGAGGAAATGTGCATACCTTCATGAGAGCAGATTAGTAGAATCATCTCTGTAAGGAATGAAAATAATTTTTGAGATTGTAGCACCAAAAGGAAGAAATAGAGTGACCTGGAAATAACACACATGAGACAATGAAAAACAATTCGTCATTTTAAAAATGACTATCTAAGGTTGTTGAGTGCTTATAATGTAAAAAAAAATAGTACAAAAGAAATTTCAAATTAGACTATTGTAAACAATATAAGAATGAACTGCCGATGAGGAAAATTAACTTGCTTTGGGGCTACAAATAAGATTCTTAAAAAGGATGGGTGGAATTTGACCTGGTCTTGAGAAGTAGCCCTTGAGAACCCAGATATGGTAGGGGGCATCACAGGCCACAGAGAGCGCTTGGGCTATGGAAAGGTAGAAAACAACTATGCAGAGCTCAATGACACTGTGGTGGCTGGGAAATGAAGTGCTGGAGAAGGAGAGGGGTGCTCAAGAGAAAACACTACAGAGCCTGTGACATGTGTAGACAGAACATGAAGAATACACGAAGGAACATGGAATCAATTTTTTTAACACCTCTCTCCCAAACAGGAGAAGCATTTTCCATAAAGCTTTACATTTGTCTTTAAGATGTCTTTCCCTATGTATTTTTGTATGTTGTGCCTATGACCCACCTGGGTTAAAAGCCCCTACACACCAAGAGCTCAGTTTTAATGATGGGAAGTAGATGAATAAGGATACAATTACAATTCAGGGTATGATTTATTAATGGCAAAAACTACCTTTATGTGACACTAGTCAAACAGGAAGAAGCCATTAAGCTATTTGTATCCAAATCACACATTAAACTGAAAGAATACCAATCCAAATAAAAGTCTGAGTTTGTATAATTTAAAAACAGAATCACAAACGAAGAACATGGGCTTCGCACAGGGCTGTCTTCCTAGAGTGTCATAAGAGGGACTGGCTTAAATGTGCTTTCACCACAGTCTTGAAACTCTTAATAATTTTATCTGAATTCTGAGTTTTGTAGGGGGCCAATGGAAAACCTGTCAAGGTCTTAGTTTCAGGTCGTGTGGCGTCCTGCCTCCCACATCCTCCCAGTTGGGTTCTGGGGCTTCCCACTTGCGGGTCTTCGCCCGGAAACTACCGTCCTCGTATTCGAGGACCCACGTCTCTAAGACCTGCGGCAGGAGTCCCAGGCACAGGTGAGGGTCTACACGAGACCCATTAGTACTGCTGTGCTTGAGGAGCTTCAGATTAAATGCCAAATAAAAACACATGACACACCAAGTCACCACGGAAAAAAGAAGACATTTTTCCTACTTTTTGAATGAGGGTTCCTGTATTTTCATTTTGCACTGGGCCTCGCTGACCATGTAACCAGCCCTGGAGTCCTGCAGTAGTGATTGGCCCCAGCTGGGCAACTCTGGCTAAATAAAATAGTTGGCTCCTGCGAAGTCTGTTGCCACATCTGTAAAATCATAATAATAGTCCCCATCTCACCGGATATCTGAATATTTTGGGGATAATTCATGCAAAGTGATTGCCCCTGCGCTTGACGCATTTCAACTCTCACTTAAACCACGTGTTAACCTTTAATACATTTTTCTTATTCAGATTCACTTCCTTTCGCCTCCTCTCCCACAGGCTAATCCTTCAAAACAGACATTTCCACAGGCAGCAGTAAATGCACAGCCGGGTCTTGCTTTAGGCATTTACTATCTACATTTAAATCTTACAGTGTGCAGAGGAATATGTCCGAGGCTGATCTATAATATAAGGCTGGCGATAAGGCGTGGTTGTTATAAAGGCAGGAATCATCACAAACACTAGATAAAAACTCGGCACAAAGATTAATCACTCAATCCTTCCATCAAAGCTCCCTCACCCACATTGGGACACAAAGCCAATGTTCTTCCAAAACCAGGCCATGCCTACGAACGAGTATAATAAAATGAGCATCCTGAACACTTCCAGTCAACAAGCCCTGCTAGCATCGCGCCCTCTGAGGCGCCAGCCGGAGCCCGGGTTCCACGAGAGAGCGCAGTTCCGGCGCGTGGCCCTCTGCTCCGGAAGTGGTTCCCCTCAGTACCGCTCTTCGCGTCAGAGCCGGTCTCGCTTTTCCTAGGGCGTCGGCCGAAGCCACCTGCAGACAAGTTTTGGACGGAAGGGCCTCCCGTACGGGGTCCACGCAGCCGCGGTCCGGCTGGTGCGGTTAACGTGCCGACGGCGGCGGCCACCGCCCCTCCTGACCTGTCGTGGCCCGGCCGGCGACTTCGAGCCTCAGTAACGAGGTAATTGCCGCGGTCCCCCAGCCTCGGAACGGCCCCTCTGCGTCCCTCCGGCGGGCGCGAGGTCTGGCGCGGAGCGAGGGCGGGGAGCGCGGCTGCGGGCGGGTTTCCTGGGGTGCGCAGGGCGGCGGCGGGAACGCCTCCTTGTTCTGCAGGCGGTCGCAGCGAGGAGCGTGTGTCTGGCCCCGCGATCCCGTGGGTGTCTGTGTGGGAGGCTTTGGGGAGATGATTCAGTCTCTGCATTCGGTGCCCTTGTCTGTACACGAAGCTCGTGGTGCTTTCCTCCCAAGGTCTTGAGAGCTGTGTTGACTGGAGCCCGTGAAGCGCTCGGTGCCATTCCGCGTTACCTGCCTTTCCTCGCCGGCGGAAGGGGAGGGCGGGATTGAGACCCGTGGGTATTGTCCGTGGGTATTCCTGACACACGGCAGCTCTTGTATGAGACCGTATCGTTTATAACTGTGTTATGTTCGTTGCCGCATGTCTTCTCTCCATTCACACCGAAATTTTGAGAGCCACTTAATGCATGCTGTATCCAGTTCTCTTTCTCTTTAGTAAATCCAGCCCTGAATCAGGCATTTGCTCTCATCACCTCCACCATAACGTGTCAATATCAGTAGGCTACCCTTTCTGCGGCTGTCGTCTTTCCAGTTTCCGCTTCTCTTCAAGGGAGTCATAAGTCATCTGAAGACCTAAAGTAATCTGGGAGAGCAAGGGTCAAATGAGGATCACCCAGCTACAGCAAAGGAAGTTTTTTGTTATCTTTATTCATTGGGTATGAAGGTGTCTGCCCCTAAGTCACTATTCATACTTTATGAAGTTGTGTATGACACACTTTCAATAGTCAGGCAAGCCACACTCAGATAGGAAAGGGTAAGAAACATCCACCTATGATATATAATAATGCCCAGAGCAAAATGAAGTGAGTGATACTTGTTCTTGGTTTTTAAGGAACTTACACAGGAATCTCAGTTGGTGATGAGGGAAGGGGAAGAGGGCATTCCAGGCAGAGGGACTGGAATAAGCAGGAAAGAGGTGGCAGTAGGAAGCCTCTTAGAAGGTATAGAGATAGATAACTGTCCATTGATGGAAACTTGTGGGGTGAAGTAGGAAATAAAACTGAAATATGTTATTGCTTTGCTGTTAGGTTTTAAGCCTAGATTTCATTTTAAATATATTGGAAAGGGAAACTGTGAGTGCATTTAGTATATATTCATAAGCATGCATTAAGCTTGTGCTAGTTCCAGAAAACATTTGGTGGGCTTTTACCGTTAGATTACCTCTGAGGTAGTCTGAGACCTTACCTGGAATGATATCCCTGGGAATTCATGGAAAATGCTAGTGAGCTTCCTGTTCAATTCTGAAATTACTCCAAGAGTAGGAGTGATAGTCATTTACCACTCTTCATTTAAGGCTCTTTCTTCTTGCACTTAGTTTCCAGGCCCCTTCAGAACAGTTAAAATTTGACCTTCAGGGAGTTTTGACAGTTCTCTTCAGTCTGGGCGAGGTGTCTGTTCTGTGTGCAGCCAGAGTGCTTTCTACTTTGGAAACACTTGTACCTGTTTCTCTGTTTTGTGTCTCTCTCCCCTACAACGTAGGTGCTCTGTAAATGTTTGCTGGGTGTCTGAATGAACTATCCACATCCTACACTGAAGCAAATTTTTTATGTTCTAGTATGAAGGTGGGGGGAAAAAGAGAAAAAAGTGGAGAGGAGGGAAGGTGTTGAAATTGAAAATAAATGAAAGAAGAACTACAAAGGGAAAAAAATATGGACACACCTACAGAAAAACTGAAGAACATGCCAAAGGAAAAAAATTGGACAATCAATTAGAAAAAAGAAATACAGCAATATGATATAAACAGCTAATGTCATCACTATAAAATAGCTCATGAAAATTAGAATGTGTCATAGAAAATAGGCAAAATAATTAACTTCAAGGGAAAAAAATGTATCTGAAAAAGAGTTCAAATTCACTATTATCTTTCAGATCTCTGCATTACTGTTTACTCAGCACCCTCATCTTAGTCTAGGTTGTATCTCGCACCAACTAACTCCCAGCAATTTTCCTTGACCCTTCACTACCTCTAATCTGATCTCTCTAGTGCAGCTGAAGTGCTGTCTTCAAAACATAAATCTGATCATGTGACCTCCCCACCCCTTTCTTGAAACCTATGTGGTAGCTCCGTTGGTTTTGGTGAAGAACAGTCTAAGTAAGGCCAGTCTCTCCCCTTGCCACATCCTCCTCAGTCTCTGTGCTTCAGCTGCGCTGGCCTTCCTTCACTGTCTAGCACAGCACCCTCTAGATCCTTTGTACATGGTATTCTTTTTACCCGAAGCTCTTTTTCCTCTCATTATTACATTTCATACTCCTACTTTACTTTTCACTTTTTCAGGGAAACCTTTCTTGACTTTCATTTACTCCTTTTATAAGCTCCAATTGCACAATTTATTTAGCACTTCTGGTCATTGTTCTGTGTGTGTGTGTGTGTGTGTGAGAGAGATTTCTTATGCTCTCCGCCTGTCAGTAAATTTTTGCTTACTGTTTTGCTTACTGATCATATCCTCAGTGCTTATCTGTTGAATGAAAACTTGAGGCATTATTTTTATGATCCTTAATAGTTCATTTTTCTTCATACTGCAAGCTTCCCTAGAAGAGTACTAGCTCTTGGAATAATTGTTTTGTAAGAACCCTGGGGTTTTGTTGTAGGTTAATTAAAATGCATGGCAGAGTCAGTGCATTACCAAAAGAGCCTGGCTAGTTGACTGGCTAGCAGTTAGCCAACTGAGAGTCGATTCAAAGTAGATTTTACCTTTATGTTTGCTCTCAGCTTTGTAGATCAGACACGTGTTATCAGTGTCACCCCACAAGTGTAGGTCATTCTCTCAAAAGCCAGTTCACATTAACCATAAGCTTATAGAAGTCTACGTACATGAGAAAGCTGGCATGAGAAAGCTGGCTTATTAAGAAATACATCTAATGTAGATAGGAGCGTTCACCTTGTAAAACACATTATTTTCCTTTCCTTTGATCTCCATTAGCTGCTTGGCATATAGAACCACAGAGAGGGTTTTGTTTTAGTTACATGATTCAGTGTTTAGTTATGACACATCTGTCCCCATTATTGAGTTATTCCAGTACAAATTGGATTTCTTAAGTCTCTGAGCAGGGGAACTCTTCTTGGAATCTCCTTGAGTTGGACACTGCCAGCTTTTGCTCTTTGTGGTTCCCTTTTTGTGTCATTGTCTACTGAAGAGGTGCTGCAGGTTACATTACCAGGTTAACTGAGGGCATCCGCACGGCTGGGTTCTCGGTGATGCCTCCCTTCTGGCAGCTGTGCTGTGTGCTTCTGTGTGCTAGTCTTCACTCCTCCTCCCGCTCTCATAGGTGATATTAAATGCATTCTTTTGCTGTTTGGAAGCGCTCAGTTTGGGCTTGTCAGTCTTAGTGATGACCTACAAGTTTCTGTCTTCATATTTTTTCCTGTTGTTTCTCTTTCATTTTATTTCTTCTCTGATAGCACATAGGATTTCCATTATTATGCTGCTGTTTTCTCCCGCTCACTTTATTTCTCTTTCCTTCCTCCCCCCCCATCAAAATTATACTTTTTCACATTTCTAACAGTGATAGTTCTGTGTGCTTTTGGTTGAAGAATCAAAAAACAAAAAACAAAAAACATTGGTATTCAAACTGCATGGCATTCTGATGATATTGGGTGCTTTAGACCTGTTTGTTGACTTTTGGGTTATCAACCAGCTTCATAGTAGATGCAAATTCATTGTCAACCTTTCAAATCCTAACTGAAAGGCTATTGGTAACTAGCTAGGTGTCAGTGGAACAAAAATGGAAATGCTCTTGGAAGAAACTAAGTGCTTGAGGTGAGTAGGTGGGAGAAAAATAAAACTAACTCCATTTTTACGCAAAGTGAATATAGTAATGATTTTTAATATACTGAGCTTTTCAAATTTTCTTACTGCCTACACACTGGTACTGTAAAAATCAGTATACTGAAGGAAAAGTACTAAAGTCAGTATACGTACTGAAAAAAAAAAAAGGCTAGAAAGCATTTTTTGGCATCAGCATGAAACTAAGTGAATGAAATATTCCATTTGCTTTTAAGAATTCCCTGATACAGTACTGGCAACCATAGAACTTCTTACATTGGAATTTTGATATTGGAGTCTCCCGTGATTGGAATGCAGTGCAACTGAGGACCAATTCTGTGATTTATTAGCTAAGTTTGTTTTATAGTGGTTAGCAAATGCTGTATAGTTACCTCATACACCAGCAGGGTATAGCACTTAGAAACATTTGCTAATAAGTTTTAATGCATAATTTATCACTTGTTATTAATTATTGTATGAATGATGTAATTTTCAAAAAAAGTGTCATAAATCCCTATTATGTTGCTTATAAAATGTAGCAATTCTTTTCACTTAAACCTAGTCTAAATGACTTTTCATTGATTACATGTATTTTATTAATTGAGATACCTACAATAAAATGCACAAATCTTAGTGTACAGCTTGAGGAATTTTGACATGTGTATATATTCATGTCACTGCCAATGATATCAAGATATCAGACATTCTGACTAATTTTTTCCCCTTTTGTCTAATTCACCCATCCCCCTATCTCCTTCCCCATGGCAACCATCGGTCTCTTCTCTGTGTTTATGGATCTGTTTCTGTTTTGTTTGTTCATTTGTTTTGTTTTTAGGTTCCCCATACAGTATTTGTCTTTGTCTTATTTCACTTAGCTTAATATATTCTAGGTCTATCTATATTGCAAATGGTGAGATTTCATTCATTTTTATAACTGAGTAATACTCCATTATGTACATATGTACCCCATATTCCTTATCCATTTGTCTGGTGATGGACACTTACACTGCTTTCATATTTTGGCTATTGTAAATGATACTGCACTGAACATAAGGGTACATATATCTTTTTGAATTAGTGATTGTGTTTTCTCCAGGTCAAATTCCCACAAGTGGAATTACTAGATTGTATGGTATTTTTCATTTTTTGAGAAACCTCCATAATGCTTTCCATAGTGGCTGCACTATCTTACATTCTCATCAACAATTTAGGAGAGTTCCCTGTCTCCACATCCTTTCCAATTCTTGTTATTTCTTGTGTTCTTGATATTAGTAGCCAGTCTGACTGGTGTGAAGTGTCTCATTGTGATTTTGATATGCATTTTCTTGATGATTAGTGATGTTGAGTATCTTTTCATGTCTGTTGGCCAATCTATATGCCTTCTTAGAAAAAAAGTCTATTTGGGTACAATGCACACTTTTTAATTGGATTACTTGTTATTTTTCTGGAGTTGAGTTGTATGAGTTTTTTAATATATTTTATTAGCCCCATATTGGATATATAATTTGCAGATATATTCTCCCATACAGTAGGCTGCCTTTGCATTTTGTGGATGGTTTCCTTTGCTGTGCAGAAGTTTTTTAGTTTGAAGTCATCCCACTTGTTTATTATTGCTTTTGGTTCCCTTGCCTGGGGAGACACATCCCCCCAAAAATTACTAATGTGAATGTTTAAGAGCTTTCTGCCTATGTTTTCTTCTAGTTGAATAAAAGCTATGTTTTATAGTTTCAGGTTTTATATTTAGGTGTTTAATCCATTTTGAGTTTATTTTTGGATGTGGTGTAAGACAGTGGTCCAGTTTCATTCTTTTGCATGTAGCTATCCAATTTTCTCAACAACATTTACTGAAGAGACTCTTTACAGTGTGATTTTTTTCTAAGTGGATCTAACTTTGAAACAAAATCTAAAGAGGTTAACATATCTAGTGGGAAAGAAACATGATTACTCTGCATTCTGTTAGTATATACTCTGCACTTGAAACAGTGAGTGAACAAGTGAGTATTGCAAACTTTCTGGTTGTTGATTTAACATATTTATTGAGTAATTGTTATGTCATCCACTGTGTTAGGTGGTAAGATTCAGTGTTGAGTAAAACCAGATACTTGACTTTCATGGAATTTATAACCTACTGGAAGGAAGACACATTAAACATAAATAGATTAAAAGTAAAATTGAACTAAATTAAACTAAAACTAACAGTCATAATAAGTTCTAGCAGCACTCTAAGTGCTCATAAATTGAATGTTTTACCTTCTTCAGGAGGCCAGAAAATATTTCCCTGAGAAATGACAGTTGAGCCAACATCAGAGGGATAAGATGTTTACAAGCTAACTTGGGGAGAAAGAGCATTTATACCAGAGAATATTGCAAGTGTAAAGACTTGGAAGTAGATGTGATCATGGCAAGTATGAAGGAATAAAAAAGGCCTGTGTGACCATCCTAACAGCAATTGGAAACCACTGGGGAGAGTTAAGTAAAAGTGTAACATCGGATCTGCATGTTAAATAATGTATTATGACTGAATTGTGGATAACTGGGGAGGGACAAGTGTGAGTTGGAAATAATTTTAAACACACTCAAGAGGAAATATCAGGTAGGCAGTTGCAGTTGTATATTTAGATCTGGACTAAAAGAGAGATCTCAGATAAAGGTAGAAATTTTTGAGTCATCTTTGGTTAGGTGGCAAATTAAAACAATATATACATGTACATCTTTATGGTTCAAAGGTATATTGTGAAAAGAAGAGTTGGCCTTGAACTCATGACTGATTAGAGGTCTGTGAGCCTTAGAAAACCAAGATAGAGTGTGTAGAGGAAGGAGGAAAACCAGGGGACTGATCTATCCTGGAAACCAGGGACAGAGTGTTTCAAGGAGGAGGAGACAGTCAGCAGTGTCAAATGCTGCTCAGATGTCAAGTAAATGAAGTCTGAAAAATTCCTGTTGAATTTTGTGATAGCTTTAAGCAGACCATTGGGAAGGGAAACTGGAATTATATGGAATGCATGAAATAGTTTGAACTCTTTAAAAGCTTAGTTCTGAGGCAGCTGAAGAGAGAGGGTGCTCCCAGTAAACTTTGTAGTGTGGATGTTTTGTTGTGTTTTTAGTGAAAATGATCCTGGCATGATTAAAAATCACTGGGAAACATCCATTTAAAGAGATAGGCAATGCTAGAGGAAAGGAATAATCTATAGAAAGGGTTCTAGGAAGGCAGAAAAGGATAGGCTCCCAAAACACAATTAGGAGACTAACCTGACATATGTGTAGGGGTATTTCTTATAACTTTATTAATAGAGGATGAGGATGCAAGTAAATTTGTATTTGTGGTAATAAAAAATGATGGTTCCCATCTGATATTTACTTTCTCCATGAAATTGAAAAAAAGAGGAAGAACGTCAGATGTTTTAGGAAAGCACGCGAAGGTTTAAAATAGTTGTTGTAGAGTGTATTGACCAAGAAAGTACAGTAGAGTTACTAGGAAGTGTAGAGGCCAGTCAATGTTAGCCCTGGGGGATTTATCGTAGAATCTCAAGTATTTCCTGCCTACTGGAGTGCTGTGAGAAAAGACTCAGAATGTTGCTTTCATCCAGGATTAACTAGAGGGAGTTTAAGGTATTGGCAAGTGTTGATCATGTACCCAAACTGGATAAAAGGAAAATTAAAAGGCCTAACCATTTGAGAGAAGGTGAAAGGGGTCAGTGAACTGGTGGTTTCAGTGAAGTCACAGACCGTTGTGGTGGATGAAGTTGAATAAGCAAGCTGATGGAAGTTGTGATCTCATTGTGGAGTATTTGAATTCATGATTTTAGAAATGGAGTAGTTATTAGTGATGACAAGGGCTACAGTGTGACCATGGAATTGTGGGTGGCTGAGATGGAAAAGATTAGGTCATTAGAAAAGAGGAAGTCAAGAAGTGAGGATGTAATATCAGATGGGTTATTCAAGTGGACATCTACCTCACCCAGAATGATGGCAAAACTTAGGATGGAGAGAAATTGTAAATTGGTTGCCAATATCTTCAGTGGATAAGGGATGAATGATACTGATAAGAGATAAGAGAAGCTGTTAAGGCTAAATCCAAGAGCCTTGAAGAAACAGGATGAGGTTGATAATACTCTTTTGGTGAGAAGAATTTGAGGGCTTGTGTGTGCCAGGCACTCTTACAAGGCACAGAAAATACTGTGTAAATATTGCAAGGCCCTGTCCTCTGAGAGGAGGTCAGACTATAGAAGAAGGCAGCCTTACATGTGCAGTTAGTGACAGTACAGTGAGATCCTACCTTCAAAGTATAGAGGGAACCTCAAGGAAGAACAGGTTATGTTTAGCTGAAGAAATCATTGAAGGTTTCACAGGAGAGATTATATCTGAACTGAAGTTTATGTAGTTCCTCAAGTAGAGAAGGAGAAGGACATTACAGGAAGAATTATAAGATGTATGGCTCCTAACAATGACAGATGAACATAAACTCAAAATAATAGCATCCTTTCTGGTAGTAAGCACTATCATGATTTGGAGTTCTTTATCATTATAATATCTCCATCTCTTTGGCAATAATTCTATTTTTTGTTCTAGAGTTCAACATTGTTCTCTAATGGGATGATTGAAAGCATGTATCTGGTGTTTGTCCTTGTGTTTTTGGTGTTTCTTTTAAAGTTATGCTTGAAATACTATATTACCAAAAGTAAATGCAGAGGTGCTCTATAAATAAATACAATACAATTCTTTGACATATTTGCTATTGTTGTTCCAAACACTCCTTCAGGAAATTAAATGTCTCCCATTATGGGTGAAGTTCTGTTTTAAACCACAAGGACACAAAGATGAACATGATGGTCTCTGACCTCAGGGAACTCATCGTTTATTATGATCCAGGAACAGGATGTATGGGTGATATCAATATACTAACCACAGGGAATGCTATGACCTTTTTAAAAATCACAACTTATTTCTCTTAAATCCTCAGACATGTTTTTAGAATGTTGATTTATTCCTTTGCTGTTTATGGAAGAGGTTTGATTTCATCAAACTGAATATAGTTAAACAAAAATTTGGTTCAATTGGTAATCTATAATAAGACTCAAAACAAAGTATGTTTCTTCTTGAATTAAGAGCCTTCCTAATTTTGGCTTTATTCCTCACAGGTTGTGAAGATGAGAAAAGAAGTGAAGAGAATCCGAATTTTTATCTGAAAACTTGTCAAGAGTGTGAGCAGACTGGAGTCAAAAAAGTTAGTCACTTAAACTAATGGTCCTGGTACTAATAAAATGTCAAAAGTTGTTTTTATTCAGTATTTACAAAAGTGAAGGGTGCGACCTAGAGGAATATAATTAAATGTCTTACTCATGCAGCACTTTGTTTTATATGTGAAAGGATGTGAGTGAGATAAAATGTGCTGTGTCAGCATGTCATTATATGGTTTGGACCTTATTTACTTTAAAATATGTGATGAATTCTTCTGATTTTGCCCCAAACTCTACTTTCTTCCATTTTGGAATGAAAGCCCTTTGGTGTTATTTGTGTGTTTTATTTTATTGGAAGTTACTTTAAGATGTTGCTATAGTTTAACAAATGTACTAATGCTTTGGATCCATTACAAAGATTTTATATCACTTTATTCCTTGAATTGGTGATTAATTTGAAATTCTCAGTGTCTTGTGGAAATGGTTATGAAAACAACATGTTCAACCTAAATTTTTTTGGAAATGTACTTTATAATTTTAGTTTCAGTAGTATTAGAGGAAAAATATGCTATTTATAGTTTTTATGCTTTAAGATGTGTTTTATTCCTGATTAACTTCTTGGTCCTTCTTAATAAATATTTCAGAAGATAGCCTTCTTCTCCAGTATAGTCAGATTTTTAACTTAGATATTTCATTAACTCCAGAGAAGAAGTTTTCATTTAATAAAATTTAATTCAACCTTTAATTATAGCTTATGAAATTTGTTTTATGTTAAAACCAAGTGTTATTAATCTGTTACTTAGAAAATATTATTTGGCCATCCTATTAAGGAATAGAAGGCAAACTGTTAATGTTAATAGTCATTAATATAATGCTGGGACAATGCTTCTTTTTGCCAAAAACTTGAGTTTGTTGATGGAATTGAGTTTGTTGAGGACAGTACAGGATGACAGAGTGTTATTTAGAGATTTATTATGCCTTTTTAAAAGAAATGAAGAAATTTTTCATTTGATATGAGTCTAAGAGAAATGCTTTTCTTGGCTACATATTGTATTATCTGCAGGGGTACTGAAGATGCACTGTTAAAAAACCAGAGACGAGCACAACGATTGCTTGAAGAAATCCATGCCATGAAGGTAAGGACTTATTACATGGGTGTGTGCATATGTGCGTGTCCACGTCTCCTGTCAGCCTGCACTTTGTGGGTGTGTAGGGGGTAGGGGTAAGGGGTTATTTACTTGAATATTAGTTGGAGTTGACTGAGACTTATTTATATGGGTCTGTTTGGTGCAGAATGTAGCACATTTGGAAAATTGTGATGTTTAAGCTTGCATTTTTTCATGTTTTTTCTAGAATTTGTTGAAGTACTAGACTAATTTGAGCCAAACTGTGCCAAACTAAACTCATCAATGTTTAATGATGCCTCATGCCTAAGGTTTTTTTACATGAAGAATAGTATGTTTACTAGGGTCCCCCCTTCACCAAATCCCCCCCCACAAACCCCATTACAGTCACTGTCCATCAGTGTAGTAAGATGCTGTAGAATCACTACTTGTCTTCTCTGTGTTGCACAGCCCTCCCCATACCCTCCCCCCCACAGTATACATGCTAATTGTAAGGTCCCCTTTCTTTTTCCCCACCCTTATCCCTCCCTTCCCTCCCTTTCTCTCCAGTCCCTTTCCCTTTGATAACTGTTAGTCCATTCTTAGGTTCTATGATTCTGCTGCTGTTTTGTTCCTTCAGTCTTTCTTTGTTTCTATAGTCTTTGGGTTTGAGGTGAGTCTCTTGTAAGCAGCATAGAGATGGGTCTTGCTTTTTTTTATCCATTCTTTTATTCTGTGTCTTTTGATTGGTGCATTCAGTCCATTTACATTTAGGGTGATTATTGAAAGATATGTAGTTATTTCCATTGCAGGCTTTAGATTCGTGATTGTCAAAGGTTCAAGGTTAGCTTCTTTAGTATCTTACTGTCTAACTTAACTCGCTTATTGAGGTATTTAAAACCCTGTCTGGTCATTCTTTACTTTTCTCCCTTCTTATTCCTCCTCCTCCATTCTTTATATGTTGGTTGTTTAATTCTGTGCTCTTTTATGCTTCTTTTAACTGCTTTTGTGGGTAGTTGATTTTATTTTTTGCCTTTTGTTAGTATTTGGTTGGTCTGCTTTTTTTGCTGTGATTTTATTTTCTCTGGTGACATCTATTTAGTCTTAGGAGTGCTCCCATCTAGAGCAGTCCCTCTAAAATACCCTGTAGAGGTGGTTTGTGGGAGGCAAATTCCCTCAACTTTTGCTTGTCTGGGAATTGTTTAATCCCTCCTTTATATTTAAATGATAGTCGTGCTGGATACAGTATTCTTGGTTCAAGGCCCTTCTGTTTCATTGCATTAAATATATCATGCCATTCTCTTCTGGCCTGTGTTGTTTCTGTTGAGAAGTCTGATGATGGCCTGATGGGTTTTCCTTTGTAGGTGACCTTTTTCCTCTCTCTAGCTGCCTTTAAAACTCTTTCCTTGTCCTTGATCTTTGCCATTTTAATTATTATGTGTCTTGGTGTTGTCCTCCTTGGGTCCTTTCTGTTGGGAGTTCTGTACACTTCCATGGTCTCCTACCCCAGTTTGGGGAAGTTTTCAGCAATTATTTCTTCAAATACACTTTCTATCCCTTTCTCTCTCTCTTCTTCTTCTGGTACCCCTATAATGCGGATATTGTTCCTTTTGGATTGGTCACACAGTTCTCTTAATATTGTTTCATTCCTGGAGATCCTTTTATCTCTCTCTGCATCAGCTTCTATGCGTTCCTGTTCTCTGGTTTCTGTTCCATCAATGGCCTCTTACATCTTATCCATTCTGTTTATAAATCCTTCCAGAGATTGTTTCATTTCTGTAATCTCCTTCCGGACATCATCCCTTAGCTCTTGCATATTTCTCTGCAGCTCCATCATCATGGTTATGAGCTTTATTTTTAATTCTTTTTCAGGAAGACTGGTTAGGTCTATCTCCTTCTCAGGGTTTGCCTCTGTGATCTTGGTCTGTATCAATTTCTTCTGCCTTTTCATGGCGATAGATATATTTGTGGGGAGCTGGCTTGTGTGTTGGGTAAGAGAAAGTCCCTTCTTGCCAGTTTGTGGCCTTCCTCTCCTGGGAGAACAGCAGCCTCTAGTGGCTTGTGCTGGGCAACTGCGTGCAGACGGGGCTTCTGATCCTGCCCAGCCCCTATGGAGTTTAGCGCTGCAGTTGCTGTGGGCATGGCCTGCCTCAGGCTGCTTCTCCAATATGGCAGAGCTGTGTTGGAGGGGGAACAGGCAGGAGGCTGTTTATTGCGGTGAGGGGCCTCTGTGCTGCGCTGTGGGGGTTCGGGTGCCCAGAGTTCCCTGTGATTCCCAGCTACTGGGCTAAGTGTCCTGGGGCACTTCTGTCCAGCTGTGGGGTCCCTGTCCTTATAAGACTTTCAAAAAGCACTAGCTTTTCTTTGTCCTGGGTGTGCCAGCTGCGGGGACCCGCTCACAAGTCTTACTGTCCTGTTTCCCTAGTTTCTAGCACCCCATGCACACACTGTGTGTCTGCGCTCTGGTGCGGATGGCTAGGGCTGGGTGTTCAGCAGTCCTGGGCTCCCTCTCCCTACCCGCTCTGACTCCTCTCCTCCCGCTGGGAGCTGGGGTGAGGGGCACTCAGATCCCACCGGGCCGTGGCTTGTATCTTACCCCCTTCGCGAGGTGCTGGGTTCTCACAGGTGTGGATGTAGTCTGGCTGTTGTCCTGTGTCTTCTGGTCTCTCTTTTAGGATTAGTTGTATTTGTTGTATTTTCAAAAATATATTTGGTTTGGGAGGAGATTTCCGCTGCTCTACTCACGCCTCCATCTCTTGGTTCTCTCCTAAGGTTTTTATTTCTACTGTAATGTTAGCCATAAAGTCTAAGAAGTTCAAGCATTCAACATTCATGCTGTTTGGTAATGTGGATGGTGATGTTGGAGGCTGACATCATGCTTTGCCTATTGCCAACTCAATAAATTTTTGTGTGGTGGTGTCAGCATTTTATTCAGCTCTGTAGGAACTTGCAATAAAATTAGTGTTGGATCAAAATGATCCATATTTTTGTTTCTTTCAGCCAGACTCTTCACTAGCATAATTTTTAGGTCTTCTCACTGCTGTTACTTTGTGGAAACTTTCATTTACCAAGTGACATACTATTAAATGTCTGCGAGACTGTTTTATTGCAGAACTTAAACACAACATTTGGTACCAACAGTTATCTTAATTGTAGGGTCATTTTGCATGTATATTTGACTATTACGTTTTGGTATACTAAGTTTTGAGATAGCTAAGGAAGCAAGATTATTCCCCAGTAATATTTTAATTGAGTTAGATTATCAAACTTCTCACCATGTTTTCCTTTTGAAGAGATAATTAAATGTTTTATATGACAAAATTACCACAGTTAATCTGAGTGGAAGTTGTAGGACATGGTTTTTCTTTGGTGTGAGGTATTTTCATTTGTTTTATTTTCACAATACTGCCGAATTCATGGAATCCATTTGATGCATCATTCTCAAAGCTCCAACCCCCTTCTTATCCAGTCATTCAGTAACAATACCCTTTACTTGTCTTCTGATTATCATTTGTGTCAATTTGGGTTACACATTATTTAGGCTTTTTTGTATACTGTCTTTTTCCCTATGAAATTCCTATAGAAATAAAGTCTTCAGAGACCTTTGTTCTGAGGACAACACTGAAACAGGAATCACGATTCACCCTTTTGCCTCTTACACTTTCTTTTAGCTGGGGCCCTCACTAAATTACATTCCTTTACCTAGATTTTTCCATATAATTTCTTCTGGATAGTTTATAATCATAGTCCTAAATTATCCAGAGGCTTTGAACTACTATACAGTTGCTGATTTTATTTTATCATGGAAGGATGCATTATGTATAATAAGGCTGTGTGCAGTGTGTGAAGAGTTTGAGAACAGAAGATTCATTACTCTTTAGAATACTTTCCTTCTGTAACTCTCAGTAGTTGCCTTAATTTAATTAATTAAAAAAGAAAATCCAATTTGATCTGTATATGGAAGTTGTTTTTTCTTATCCTTAAATTTCATCAGCAGTAAGAAATCAGGCGCAGTCATAGAGTTCATAGGTTTATAAGACCTTTATGGAAAGGTTTTTATTTTGTTGCCTCATAGAAAGCTAAGATTCATAGTCTGTATGTTCCTTGAATTCATAAAGTAAGTAGTGTATATATTCTTTGAATTTGTGGTAGTGGTTAGGGTAGTCTAGATGGGTTGCTGTGACTTCAACACTTTTTGTAATATTATTTGAAAATTGCATTAAGTTTAAATGTAGAAACCAGAATAAAAAGAATACGAGGAAGACTGTGTTTGCTCTTGTTGCGTGTCAGATTTCATTTATCATTGGTGTTTCTTTTACAGAGTTGGTCTTCCTTTCTAAGAGAGGCAAATAGAGCATTTTTAAAAATTGTTCCTTCTTAATAAATATTTCAGAAGATAGCCTTTGTAATTTTTTAAGGAAGTGTTTATCATGTACATGGGAATATCAAAGAAATGGTCAAGAGACAGAAAACTCACAGTTTCAATGAAATTTGGAGAAAAACTTCTATTTACTCATTTTTTCCAGATGGATTTTTTTTCCTTGGCTCATATACCACTATGTTTTTTTATTTTTTATTTTTTATTAAGGTTTTATTGATATACAATCTAATGAAGGTTTCATATGAAAAAACAATGTGGTTACTACTTTACCCATATTATCAAGTCCCCACCCATACCCCAATGCAGTCACTGTCCATCAGTGTAGTAAGATGCCACAGATTCACTGTTTGCCTTCTCCACTGGTCTATGGGTCTGTTCTTGTGCCAGTACCAAATTATCTTGATTACTGTGGCTTTGTAGTAGAGCTTGAAGTTGGGGAGCATAATCCCCCCAGCTTTATTCTTCCTTCTCCAGATTGCTTTGGCTATTCGGGGTCTTTTGTGGTTCCATATGAATTTTAGAATGATTTTCTCTAGTTCGTTGAAGAACGCTGCTGGTAGTTTGATAGGAATTGTATTAAATCTGTAGATTGCTTTAGGTAGGATGGTCATTTTGGCAATATTAATTCTTCCTATCCATGAGCACAGGATGTGTTTCCATTTATTGATGTCTTCTTTAATTTCTCTCATGAGTGTCTTGTAGTTTTCAGAGTATAAGTCTTTCACTTCCTTGGTTAGGCTTATTCCTAGGTATTTTATTCTTTTTGATGCCTGGACAATTTTGTCTACCTGTCCTTTCTCCTGAGCAGTAAACTCTGTGCAGTCCTTGCCCCTTTAGCAGCCCTCTTGCTAAGGGCGTCCTTGTTAGGACGTCTCTCAGAATGCCTGCCTTTCTTTTGTCCCAGAGCAGCTGGGTATGGATCCCTGCTTTCCACAAGCAGCTGGAATCTCAGTTCCTCGAGGAATTCTGCCTGTCTTAGCTTTCCAATCCCCTAATCACGAGAGTATCACAAAAACACCATGAAATGTAGGTTTGTGCTCCCAGAGCAGATCTCCGGAGCTAGGTATTCAGCAGTCTCAAGCCTCCATTCTCTCCCTGCTTCATTTCTCTCCTCCCATGGGTGAGCTGTGGTGGGGGAAGGGCTTGGATCCTCCCAGGCCACAGCTCTGGTATGTTACCCTGTTCCATGAGGTCTGCTCCTTTCTCCAGGTGTGTGCAGTCTGGCGCCGTCCTCTCCCATGTTGCTCTCTCAGGATTAGTTGCATCAATGATATTTTCATATTTTATGCAGTTTTTGGAGGAAGCCTCAGTCTCACCTCTCATACCACCATCTTTAATCTCCTCCATTTCCACTTTTCTAGGGCCTGAAAAAGTCTGTGTACTCACAGGAGGATGTCTTCCTGCCAGTGTTTTTTGATCTAGCGTCTAAATGGTCTCTTCTTGATCCTCTTCTACCTCTACCCCCTCCTCGGCCTTCTCTTCCTCATTGCCACCTCCTGTAATCCTCCTCCTCCACATCCGACTCATCCAACTCCTGCTCCCCCTGACCCTCCTCCACGATCCTCCTCCACATCCCAGTCCTCCGACATCTCCTCCTCAGACAACTCCGACAATTCCCACAGCTCTTCCTCCTCCTCCTCCTCGTCCACATACAGCTTCTCCTCTTCCACATATGCCTCCTTCTCCTCCAGATACGTCTCCTCCTCTGATACATACGGCTCCTCCTCTGATACATACGCCACCGCCTCCTCCACATATGCCTTCTCCTCCTCCTCCACATATGGCTCCTCCTCCTCCACATATGCCTCCTCCTCCTCCAGATATGGCTCCTCCTCCGATACATACGGCTTCTCCGATACATACGCCACCGCCTCCTCCACATACAGCTCCTCCTCCTCCACATACGCTGCCTTCTCCTCCACATATGCCTCCTCCTCCTCCAGATATGGCTCCTTCTCCGATACATATGGCTCCTCCTCCTCCACATACAGCTCCTCCTCCGATACATATGCCACCACCTCCAGATACGGCTCCTCCTCCTCCACATATGGCTCCTCCTCCTCCACATATGCCTCCTCCTCAGGATATGGCTCCTACTCCGATACATACGGCTCCTCCTCCGATACATATGCCACCACCTCCAGATATGGCTCCTCCTCCAATAAATACTGCTCCTCCTCTGATACATACATCCTCCTCCTCCAGCTATGGCTCCTCCTCTGATACATACACACAGCATCCTCCGCATACGCCTCCTTCTCCTCCTCCACATACAGCTCGTCCTCTGATAAATATGGCTCCTCCTCCGATACATATACCTCTTCCTCCACATACGGCTCCTCCTCCTCCACATTTGCCTCCTCCTCCTCCAGATACGGCTCCTCCTCTGATACATACCGCTCCTCCGATACATACGCCACCGCCTCCTCTGCATACGCCTCCTCCTCCTCCTCCACATACGGCTCCTCCTCTGATAAATATGGCTCCTCCTCCAATACATGCGGCTCCTCCTCCGATACAAACGCCACCACCTCCTCCATATACACCGCCTCCTTCTCCACATACGGCTCCTCCTCTTCCACATATGCCTCGTCCTCCTCCAGATATGGCTCCTCCTCCGATACATACGGCTCCTCCTCCAATACATATGGCTCCTCCTCTGATACATACGCCACCACCTCCTCCACGTACTCCTCCTCTTCCTCCTCCACATACAGCTCCTCCTACTCATATGCCTCGTCCTCCTCCAGATACGGCTCCTCCTCTGATACATACGGCTCCTCCTCCTCCTCATACGCCTTCTCCTCCACATACACCTCCTCCTCCACATATGCCTCCTCCTCCTCCACATACGGCTCCTCCTCCTCCTCATATGCCTCCTGCTCCACATATGCCTCCTTCTCCTCCAGATACGGCTCCTTCTCTGATATATATGGCTCCTCCTCCGATACATATGCCACCACCTCCTTCACATATGCCTCCTCCTCCTCCTCGTCCCCTTCTTCCTCATTCTTCCTCTTCAGACAAGAAAAGACACGATGGAAAACCTGGGAGCTGAAGCCACTGTCCAGGCCCATGAGCCCCTCAGGTGTCTCGGCCCTGGAGCCCTCCTCCTGGGCAGGGGGCTCCCCTGCACTGCCAGCCTGCTCTGTCCCCTGCGGGGCTTTGCTCTCCAGGCTGGATTCACTGTCAGGCCGGCATTCCTGTGCACACAAGGGGCTGGATGTTTTTGGGGCCCCTTCAGGCAAAGCAAATTCTTCTACTCTGGTCTTCTTTGAGGCAGGCTCCACGACTTCCGCCCTATCCCATGAGATAACCGCACCTCTCTTCATCTTGACACGCTTATTGAAGCGTGCCGTTCCCAGGTGTGGTGGAAAGAAGTCTTGGGTAGAGAGGGAGGAAGCTTCCCATTCCTCCAAGACCTGGGGTTGAGTCATCTCATGAGGCCCAGTACTAACAGTATCTGGAGGCAACTGAGGGATTCCTGGGAAAGGAAATTTCAGACATTAGAAAACTAGAATGAGTGTATGAAGTCTATAGGAGTTGAGATGGTCATGAGACTATTCCTATGTGGGCACATGGCCTGAAAGTACATACATATGTGAAATCACAGAATCCCATGAGACGTACATTTTATCTGAGGTATGTGTGTGGTGTGATTATGTGGGATTGAGGGTGTGGAGGTCTGTGTATGTTCTGGGACATACCCTGTGAGAGTTTCTGACATTGGTAAGGGGGTGGTGAATGACGGTGTACATGTGTGTGTGGTGCAACAACACACATAACCAGGGGTGGTACGTGTTCTTACTGTGAAACAGTTAAAGATGGACGTGTTAGAGGAAATGTGCTTGAGCTTCTCAGAAGCGCAGCTCCCTGAAAGGCTGAAGGCTTTCGGCTGAAGGTTTGGTGGGTGAACTGGTATGTAGAATAGAAAGACTGTACATGAAAGTGCATTCCCTTCAGGGCATATGAGTTTTTGAGTGCTTAGGCTGGCTCTAATGAGGGCGGTAAAACAAGTTATCTGTGTGAAGGGATTACATTATTTACAGGTTAGCGTGTAGACAGTAGAGTCTGAGAATGATTGAGTGAGGAGGGAAGATGAAAGTGTGTATCTGTAATGCTTGTAGAGAATGGGAAGGATGCATCTGGAATGAAGGTATTTGTATATGAGAGAAAAACTGAAAGGAAGGAATAATGGGGCTTTATCTGTTATGAAGGAACATAGGGTGTGTGTGTGTGTGTGTGTGTATGAGTTTGTGCTGATGTGAAGGAAGAGGTTGTAATTGAATTCCCACACTATTATCAGCACAGCTCACTACCTCACTCAGTCCCAGTGTTCACATGGGGAACTGTCCTACCCATGAAAGCACACCCCCAATTTGTCTCTCTTCAGAGGCTTCAGTTTTAGTTTCTCTGCCCTGAAGCCCTTTCCTGTTTTTGAAGGGTAAGTGAAATAAGTAGGGATTGGGCTGAGCATCTCAGCTATTCATCCTGCCCAACCTTTGTGATCTGATCTCCCTTACCATCCTCAGCAGCAGCATGAAGCTTTCCTGGTGTCTCACTGCAGCCTGGGACCACCACATGTGCCTGAGGCTCAGGAGAATCCTCTGGGGTCTTCTCGAATTCTGAGGAATGAATACAAAAAAACAGATGTGGCATTTTCTGGGATCTATATCCATTCAAAAAAGACTTGTTGAGTGTAAACATGTTAGGCATTGACACCCCTCCCATGAAATTAAGCATTTGAAACTTGACTTGCTCCAAAATATAAGGAAACAACGATATGATAATTGTGTGTAGTAGATGTCAGTGATAATTGGGTATCTTGTATGTGATATTTCTAAAGATGTATACAGAATATCAAAAACTAGTGACTAAAATTAGCTCCTTTTTCCTCATGAGAAATTATATAATAAGATGACATGGGATAGAAGTGTTAAAAGAATTCTGCATGTCTGTCTGCCTGCCTGCCTGTCTATATTGGTATCTGTATTGATATATAGAAAGATAGGGATGTCAATATAAATATAAAGAGGTGTTGAAATACAGCATTTTCACAGGGAATTCCTGGGCAGTAGCCATGGTGCTGGAGATGTTCAAAGGAAGACTTTACAGACTTGCCCCAGACT